CCAATGATGCATTGAAGAAATTGTTCGCGAAATGCCGTGACGGAAAGATACGAGTACTAAAAATTTCGATAGAGAATGGTAAGTTCTGGATCGTAGCATAAATTTGCATTATCGAAATCTAAGAACATGTGTTTATTTTGCTGTAAGATCTGGGGATTAATTGTGTATCTTGAAGCAAAGTGAAAGTTGCAAAGTGAGCGAATATTGACTTTGTTAATTTTATCTCATTTCAAGATACGTAATCAATCCTTTGAAGATCAGAGTGCATGGCTGTATCTTTAGTAATTATTGTTTCCCTTTTCCAGAGGAATTAACTCCAGCATCTAGTCTGAAGCCAATTAACAAATGGCAAGATGATTACGATAAAATGATCAAGCCACTGATTGTGGAAAATCAACCAGCTTATATCCTTTATAGATTGGACACAAAATCGCCAGATTCTGGCTATGATTGGTTATTTATATCGTGGTCTCCTGATACTGCACCAGTACGACAGAAAATGCTTTATGCTTCTACTAAGGCTACGCTCAAACAGGAATTTGGTACAGCCTTAATAAAAGAGGAATTACATGGCACTGTCCCGGAAGATATTACATTAGATGGTTATCACAAACATAAGAGAAACGATACAGCACCCGTACCACTGACAACGGCGGAGGAAGAATTAGCTGAATTGAAGAAGACTACCGTGACTACGGATTATAATGTCGAAACAAGACATCAGACTTTGAGTGGCGTGGCCTTTCCAGTAACAGATGAAGCCAAGCAAGCCATCACGGAGCTGGGTAAAGGAATTCACGAATACATTCAATTAAAAATTGAATTGGAGGAAGAAAAAATACATTTAGTCACAGCTTGCGATGTTTCACTGGATAAATTACCTACTAAAGTTCCATCTGATGCTGCTAGATATCATCTTTATAATTTCAAGCATACTCACGAAGGAGATTACACAGAAAGCATAGGTAAGCGATAAATAATATTTCATGTACCTGTACAGTGTAAAAGAATAATTTTTTTTCTTTTTTCAGTTTTCATATATAGTATGCCAGGATATAATTGCAGTATTAAAGAAAGGATGTTATATTCCTCATGCAAAGCGCCTCTCTTGGACCTAATCCAGTCTCTAGGAGTAACCATAATAAAAAAGGTTAGTACTTTTAATATTTTAATAATTCTCTGTAATTACTTCACTTTGGCTTTGATCCACTTTATGTAAATATTTTTCTTTATCAGTCTTGTTTTAAGTTTAAATATTATATATTTCAAATAGGCATACTCATTGAGAATAATAAAAGTGCAACATTTAATTAATATCATACGCATGTGTTTTGTGACTATAACTATTAATTTTGAATATAAATCTAGCATTCATCTGTAATTTCTTTTTAAAATCTAGTATGCTTCAATGGAAATCTTTTTCTCTTTTGTATCATCCTATACTATAATAATAATTGTAATTGCAATATTGTATCATATATAAGATTGTGTGCGTTGCATTTCTAAGTGTAATACTATTATACTTAGAAAAGCAATTGTTATTTATTTATGATCTACTAAAAAATATATTCTTGATATACGTGTGTACTCTTGTATATATATAACTGCCATCTCTGTATTATATAACTGCAATCCTAGTTGGAAGTTAATAGTGGAGAGGAATTGGCAGATAAGTTGGAAGATCCTCCAAGCATAAAAGACTCAGCTGCAATAACTCCTGCAACTCCATCGACACCTTGTGCTCCTACTCAATCCATACCAGAGAAAAAATCAAAACAGAAACGGTCTTGTGTCTTAAGCTAAAACTGGCCTAAAACATTTATCTCTGCCATTATTATTGCTTTTTGCTAATTGAAGTGTTTATGATGTTTTGTGCATCAAATATCTTCCTTCATGAATTCCAGAATTGTGATAATATGATATTGACATAGGATATGTCGTTAAAATAATGGGTTTCCAATGTTTCATGTTAGAGCAAATTACAATTATCTAATTATATATATATATATATATATAAATATATGTTATGACAGTTAATTTACAAGTAGCAGAAAATGTAATGCATCATGCAAAGGAAATTAATCTGTGTTATTTATCAGCATTTAGAATTAATTTATCAAAGTGATACGTAAATCTAAGTAGCAAAACAGAGTAGACCAGATGGTGTATTTTTCTAAATTTTAAAAGCAAAATTATCATGTGGAAGGTTCTTTGCAAAACGTCATTATATCTATTGATAATAAGTGTGACATGCCTATGATACAGATAACCCCATATAGTGTTGTTTCACATATACTATATTCATTAATTCATCCTACGTATGAAATTGTTCATTTATATGAAAAATAGTGTCGAGAATTAGATTCAATTAAATTATTTTGTTTGACATTGAAAGCTAAGCCTCACTTTTTAATTTTTATATTTAGTATGAGTATTATGTCATGTGATAGCAATTGTGTGAAATGTGTATGTAATTTAGTTTTATACAGAACTTAACATATTCTATTCATACAGTTCCTCTTCATTCTAATAACTTTATATATACATATATATTTTATGTGCAGCATTTCTATACCTAAAATATATATTTTCTTTAAAAACTATGTTTAAAAAAAATATATATATATATATTGTACCTAGTACTGTGAATTAGTTCCTAGTCTTATAAAGGTGATATGTGTCGTAAGTATTTTTAGAGTGAAATTTGAAGGCTTAGCTTTTAAACTCATTCAAATATTCATATGAGATTCGATAAACATAATATTTTTAATATTGATTTATGGTAACTATATACACCATATGTGATGTGAGTAGAGAGTTAGGAAAAATTCCATTTGTGCTCTAAATAGGTAGAAGGAAAGAGAAAGAGCTAAAGCCATTCACCTAACTTCTCTATATATTTTCAATATGATAATAACGTAGTTATTAGACGAGTGATAAATATGCAAACGCCACATTAATGTGGATATATTTTTTTCGCACATTATTATTTCAGCTACAAGATAGTGATAACACTAGTTATTTTACATACAAAATTTTATATCATGTTCTACACTATTGTAAATGCTAAAAATATTAAATCTTACAAATATGTGTATGATGTAAGACTGATCTTGGTGAGTCCTATCAGCTGTTAAATATTATACATTTCCAACTATTAAACAAGATTAATGGTAATTATTTGTTATTCTTATATTATTACTAAAATTTTAAAAAGTTATGTTATTCGAGATATATTAAGAGCATTATTTAATATATTTATATTACAATAATTTATTATTTAAATAAAATATCTCCAGAGAGAGAAAATGTTTTCAAATATTTAAGTGGATATGTAATTTACAGCAGATAGGACTACAATTTGATAGTCCGCAACAAAATATATGAGAGGCATTCTATTTTTTGTGATCTGTATTTTCTTAACACTTGTAGCTTTTTATAAACTTTTTGAATGTTTTAGTCATAAAATACGCGTGCGGAAAAATGATTAATAAAACAGCTGGGTCTACTTGTGCTGTGAAAATTATTTGAGCCAAATTCTTGGATTTTTTCCTTCCATGCACAGTTAATATTTTTTATATTTCATAGTACGGTTTTTATATGATTTTATAGATTTTTTATAATCCTAATTATTATATCCCTTATTTTTAATGAATTATTTAACTTTCTAGTTCAGTTGAGAGGGAGAGGGAGAGAGAGGGGGGGGGGGGGGAAAATATTTACATAAATATATTTAAATTAATTCTTGTACTATATTGAAGACTAATTAAACATACGTATACTATTTTTTTAAATCAAGACCCACAGTATTGCCTAATAATATACTTTAGTTAAGTGTCATATCAGGCCTATTCTGTAACTCCGATTTTATCTTAGCTCTGGACTTTTCAGTTATATCTATATAACTTATCAAAATCAAGGAAATTGTATATATATCTTGCTAATATTGAATATTACTGGAAATAATAAAGCATTATGCAACTTAAACTTACAATTTGGTGTTTCTTTTTATATTATATTCAGTATTATATATACATTTATACTAGGTACATATATAATTAGTAAGGACCACTTAGGTATGTATATTGCTATTGCTAAGGATGACTTGGCGGCACTTCTTAAAATGGGTATGTAGTTATTTTTAAGATTCAAAGGCATGTTTTGTTACAACTTGCAGAATAGGCCTGCTATATGATCTACAGCCATATGTTTATATAACTTATCTTTTTCCTGATTTTCTCCATTTTTACAGTAGTAAATCTCTTATATATAACTACATTCCTACTTCTGTTGATATGTATATATTATTCATTTCCTAAATTTTTATTCTATTAGATGTACATTACACATATATTATAATTTTTCTTTACAATTTAATTGCACAGCTTGAAATAGCTGCTGGACAGGAACTTACCGAAGAGTTTTTTCAAGAGGAATTACATCCAAAAATCAGTTTACATCAGCCAAAATTCGCTAAACCCAAGGGTCCACCGAACAGAGGTGCTAAGCGTATAACCAAGGTTCAAGAGTTAGCATCCTCTGGACAAGAACATTAAAAGACTATTTATGAGGTTATTAATGTTAAAATAAAAGCAGGATAGTGATTTCTAATATATTTTTGTGCACGCATTGTTATAAAATATGCATGATTCTTATTTCTCATTTACTTTATTTAAAAGAAGAGATATTAAAGATAAATTTATTTTGGCCTATTCTGTAAATATATATACTTAAAGTATATAATTATTTATTTTATTGTTTGATCTTTAAGCCAATTATATATATATGTACATATATATACACACATACATGTGTATATAAGAGATTCGTCGAACTTCGCACTTATATGTGACAAATTATGTGTAAAATTTATATGCATATTTGTTAGAAAATTTTTTTTGATTGTTTCGCATCTCACAAAACTTTAAGGCAATGACAAATGAATAATAAAAATTTCGATCTCACAGATGTTTTTCTATATATAACATTTATTTATATAATTATGGGTTTGTTTTGTTTTGGTTATTATTTTCATTTATATCCCGCAATTTTTTATTTTCTTCATATAATTTTTGTATTTCTGGTAATTCACTTTTCATATGTTTTTTTATTGTTTCGCGCGTCCTACAATTGTTAAAAATATACAATATTAATGTATTTAAAAAATCAGTATAATTTTATAACTTATACATTCAACGATATAACACAGTATACTTATATTGAATGTAGATGTAAGATCTCTCTTGTAAGAAATATCAAATTCAATATTTAAATTATAAAATGGATAATATTTTACTTACATATCTCTCGCATTTAACCAATTCTTTTGTGCTTCTAATGCTTCATCTATAGTTCTTCCTGATAACTTAAGAATAAGAAGTGATACACCACCACATGCTCCACCTAATATACCACCAAGTCCAGTACCAACAAGCGCTCCTCGAAGCCCCATATTCATTTTAAATAATAATCCTGCTATAGAACCACCTAACATATAATTCTCTAGTGCTATCTTTCCACGATATGATGATGTACATGTTGTTATGGAACTATAAAAGAAAATATTTTAACTTTCTATAAATTTTAGGCCATAAAAAGTATACGTACCTAAAGATAAAACAAAATGTTCCAAGTTTTATCCCATATCGTCCACCCTTCTTTAAAAAATTTGTAACGACTGATTGTTGAAGACTATATTTTGCATCAGAATGGCTTATGAATCGTGTTGCTTCGTTATTCATGATGAAATTATCTATTGTAGTCTTAGTTGAACTCGTACCAGCTATAGCTAAGCCAATTCCAAAACCTGACACTGTTATATTTATGATAGATTGCAGTTCTTTTGAATACCCATTTTCTCTGTTATAATTACAAACCATTATAATAAAAATTTTATTTATGCAATTGAAGTAAAAAGATTTTATATTTGGATATGTGTGTGTATATGTACATGATACATACCCCAAAGTAAATATTTTTTTTATTCTGTCCCAACCTAATTCATCATCTAGTGGTTTTATTATTGTATTCACAGGCTTATCATACTGATCATCGTTTTTGGAAAATGGAAATACGGTCATTAACATTGGGCTTCTGATTAATAGGCGTGTCATTTTAAGTTTTGAATAATTTATTACTAGTTATATGTATATGTATATATATATATATATATATATATATATATATCTATATATGTGTAAATATTAAATCTGAAATCATTTCGAACAAAGTTGAAAGCTTCAGCATTTATACACAAACATTTTAAAAATAACGGTATAATAATGACAAACACGATGGAATATAAAAATTAAATATAACAGGATAAAATTTAAGAATTATTATTTCCGCATATAACCTGTTTAACTGAAGTCAGTATATAGTTATATATAATGAAACTGTTACCACTGTCACAAAATGATTAAAAAATATATGTACATAAGTATTAAAAAATATATATACATAAGTATTAATAAATATTTCATAGAAAATTAGATAAATATCACAAATAATCTCAAAAATTCTATATTTTAATTAGTTTTACACTAGTATAAACACAGTTTTGTTAAGACGAACCGCTTTTTGGTGCATGCGCATTGATGCGCATTCGATAATCAATATTCGATCAGTATAGCGGACTACATTCCAAAATTGACTGTCAGTACTGAAAATCTATAGTACACAAAGTATTTTCAGCGCTGGCAGTAAACTTGGAATACAGCCAATTTATAAAGGTCCCGTTAGGAAAATTAATTAAGAATATCGTAAAATACGAAAAATTTTCAAAAGACTAATGACGAGCGAAAGAAATGTCAGTTTAACGATACATAATAAATACATTTATTTCTTTTTGGTAATTATTCAGTTTAACTACCCCACCTCAAAAATCAATAAAAATAGGCTTATTCGATGCGTTATTGAATGAAATGAAAGAATCTGGCAAAAAAAAGTGTCGCTCTGCCC